ATGTGGCAGCCAAATGTCCGGCTGGCTGCCCCAATAATGCCCAGTGCAAGATGGTGCAAGGAACGCCGCAGTGCCAGTGCAAGCAGGGGTTCAAAATTGACTGGAGCAAGAACAAGTGCACACGTAAGGGAGAGAGACAAATTATCGTTTCCTTTTTGTCCTTGTATTGTGATAAGTACTGCTGCTCAAGTGATCTTATGCTTGTCGCCCTTTTCACAATTTCTAACTCCCATTACAACCATCGCCTCTCGTGTATACCTACACTGTCAAACCTGCTCATACCCGCTCATCCGCCCCGTTCCTACCCTGTGCATCTTCCACACAACCCCGGTTTTCATGTGGCAGCCATATGTCCGGCCGGCTGCCCTGATAATGCCCAGTGCAAGATGGTGCAAGGAACGCCGCAGTGCCAGTGCAAGCAGGGGTTCAAAATAGACTGGAGCAAGAACAATTGCACACGTAAGGAAGAGAAACAACTCATGCTTTCCTTTCTCTTCTGCTCGTTTGAAAGCTACCGCAGCTCGAGTGATCTGATGCTCGTCGCCCTCTCTCACAATCTCTGAATCCCATGCATGCTTTCCCTGTCAGCCCCGCTCATCCTCCATTCCTTGCATCTCCCTCCATTCAGGTTTTAATGTGGCAGCGATTTGTCCGGCCCCCTGCCCCGATAATGCCCAGTGTAAGATGGTGCAAGGAACGCCGCAATGCCAGTGCAAGCAGGGGTTCAAGATGGACAAGAGCAAAAACAAGTGCAGAGGTAAGGGAAAAAGACCGCGTATGCCCTCTTTTTCCAACAGTCTACTCTCATGTATTCCTTTGCAGTCAACCCCTCTCATCCTCCATTTCCGTCTCCTGCACACCCCCCTTTTCCATGTGGCAGCCATTTGTCCTAGTGGCTGCCCCGATAATGCCCAGTGCAAGATGGTGCAAGGAACGCCGCAGTGCCAGTGCAAGCAGGGGTTCAAAATGGACTGGAGCAAGAACAAGTGCACACGTAAGAGAGACATTCCCTTCTTCCACATGCATGTACACTGCCTATGCGCTTCTATATCACCCAGTTCTCCTCTCGACAATACAAGTCGTGGCTTCACCACCCACACTCTCTTCGTTTGTTGTTCAACCCCTTCCTTCTTCCCTCTCTTTGCAACTCAGCGAGCTGATTGTGATCACCACGTAGGGGCTGGTTGGTTCACAACAAACGAATAAGGAGCGGCCCTAGTTGGATTGACACGGGGCAAGGAGGTGCTTGCTGGCAGCGCTAGGAGGAACGGCAGATTGGCGGGGGCTGGCGGAGCAGAGGTGCAAGCAACTGCATGCGGTTGCTTGGAGGCCAGGAATAAATGGCTGATGGCTGGTTGAAGTGATTTTGTGTGTGTGCAAGAATAGATTTACATTAGGTTGGCCTGTAGTTCAATAAAGTGTGATTCTTGTTTCTTAGGACACATTGATAGCTTTTTGTGAACTACCTTTGATGTGTTTGCTTCATTTGTTTTGTGTGAAGCTTTTTTTAACTGAGGTCATCCAATAAACCACCTATCTATGGATCGAGTGGGCCAATCATCAACCTTGAACGGTTGGTGTAAGGAATTCAAATTCCTTATTGTACTCGCATTTTAGCGAGTACAACCCGAGGGCCAAACGCAACCATTTCCGAGCCACTGACGTCCCCCCATTTAACCCCATCTCTTTTGTTGTATGTCGGTTTAGTGTTACGAGTGCAATTGAGTGAGCGAACGAAGATTGCAATATTGAAGGAAAACAGTACATTGAGAGAAGGAATGAGCGAGTGTTCCTATAAACGCCCAGATATAAGAAAGCATTGAATTGAAGACAGGGGGTGTCTCTTACAATATATTTGAGAGTTCTCATTTATAAGAGACCTATGAGCGTATACGAGTTAAGACATATGTGTCTTCAGAAACCGTAATGTACTATACTGAAAAAATGAAACAGAACGTACATTCTTACCCTTGCAAAACATGAATTTGGCCATGTGGTGATTTAGCATGCATTCTCTCAGATCGATTGTGCAAATTGATCTTCACACGCGATCCTTGAAAATGGACAACAGGGATGACGATTTGAATTAGGCCTCCCTGAATCCGGGGAAAAATTTCCCTCTGTATTGTGGGTGCGTATTTTCCACAGGCTTGCTACCAGGGCCTCAGATGTCAGCGAAAAAAGGATGATTTAGGGTCGGAAGGCTGATTTTTCAGACATGGGGATAATGTATTGGCTGATATTTCAGTTTTTTTTTTAGTGTATGGGCTGATTTTTCAGCGATTTTTTACAAGTGTAGACTGATTGATCAGCGCACTAACGAGGGTGTAGGCTGAAAAAGCGCTACTACTGATTCTGTAGGAGCCGTGAGTTTCGGCTGTCTAGGTACATTCCCCGTCAGTCACGCCGAAGTTGCCATCTCCCGACGCGTCAATTCGGTGCAGAAGTTCTGCAGCAGAACAACAACGCACAGCAAAGCACCGCATGCCCCCACGTCAAACACCCCCACCTCACCCCACAGCACTTTGAAAATGGTCTCTAGCTTTGTTCAGCCTTAGTTTTGAAGTGAGGCTGATTAGTCGGCCTTTTTTTAGACCAGGACACTGATTTTTCAGTTTTTTTTTTTTGGTACAACACTGACCGTTCAGCCTAGGCAAAAACGAATCTGAGGCCCTGCTTGCTACTCTGATTGCTCAGTGTTGAAAATTTGTTAACTCTGATTGTTCAGGGTCGAGAATTGTACATAGGTGTAACAACGAGCTTTTTGTTACAGGGGATGAAGTCCCGCTCCGCATAATCACAAGACAGCGCGACATCATTTCGGGCACACCTTGTGCGCGCTACTTTCAAGCCCTTTATTTTTCACAGATTGGTATTTATCCACACAACTTTTAGCGGGGGGAAGAGACAAGCAATTTCGGTCAATCAAACAGTTTGATATCACAGAGGTGCCACGATTTCCTATTCGCCAACGATCCGCAATTCGCCAACTTATTTGTGCGAAAGTCTACGATATTTTGGTAACTTCACGCATACGCGATTACGATAGTACAACCGACATTCTCAAACTTCGTGAATCTAACATAGATCAAGTGTACTCCACTGTCACACATGCTGCTGTGCGCTGCTCACGCGCTTACTGCAATCAATGCGAAGGCGAGGTTATCGGAAGGAAATTTTCGAGAAAGTTTTTCTCGATAAGGTCAAATTCAGGGACCACTAAGGAAATTTCCGAGAAAGTTTTCACTCTGATTGGATCAGTGTTTAGAACTCAAGGATTCTGAAATCTTAGTCTCCATTAAGTGAAAAGCCTAAAATCATCCTGAAATCAGGGTAATTACCCTGATAAAAACAGCCTTGATCGACACTTTACTGCGTCCTAAGAAAATGTTTCTCGGGGCAGAGGCTTGTGTGGCTTTCCAAAGTGGATGGAGGTTGCTGATTACTTCTTTGGCGGCGACGCGAGGTGTCACATGTGTGCGCAACGTGCAGACGAAGCATTTTTTGCCCGCACGAATCCCTTTGGGAAAGGATAAAAAAGGGGCCTCGAAGTATCAGTAAAGTGGCGAACTAGGGGCTTTGTGAATCGTGCCCTTACGAAGTATGCCCGAAGCAGCCCACACGTCTGGCCTTCTCGCTAGGTCCTCATGTTCTGGCCTGGTTCTGACGAATTTCGCTAGCACCCAAGGTCACGAGAGCAGCGATGGCAGCCCATTCACAATGGGCAGTACAAATACTTCAGCAAAATCACCCAAAAGAAACATTTTTGCTCAAGAATATTAACATCGTAGTGGTAAAAAAATAAAACCTATTTGGATGGCATAAAATCGGGGAGGCATCAACACTAAACGCATGCGATATAACGCAATGAGCGTTTAAAGTCGCTATGCAGATATCCGATTGTGCACTCTATCTTTCGTTTTAGGCACATTTGAGCCTATTGTGACTATAACACGAGGAAACACGGTTACTACTACAGATTGGACCCCTGCGATGGAAGCCTGCTCTCCCCGTCACAAATATTAAGGAACTCGACTTAATCTTTGGGAGAGACTTTCTTAAAATTTTCAACAATATCAACAACAGCAGGAGGAATATCAACCTTCCCTAATGGGACGACACAAGAAATCTTCCAGTCGAGACACTCACACGCTTTGAAAAGGACGTCAAACGGACCACGGCGGGATTTATGGCGATAGTCAATGAAGCAGACAACGGAGAGAAGCAGACAACGGAGAGAAGCAGACCCAGGAAATTCCTCTAGAAATCAAGAAAATTCTTGAAGAGTTCCAAGATGTTCTCCCCGACGATCTACCCGATCAGCTACCGCCATACAGGACATACCAACACGAGATCGTGGAAGAGCCAGGATCCAAGTCGACGTTGCGAGCACCATACCGGCTGAGTCCGACGGAGCTTGCAAATATGAAAAAAAAATCGAGTATCTCCTGGAGAAAGGGCTGATTCGACCTTCTACTTCGCTGTACGAAGCTCCGGTTCTTTTCACTCCAAAGCCCGATGGAAGTCTGCGAATTTGCAGCGACTACTGTGCACTTTGTCAGGAAGAATAGGAGCGTGGCCTAGGCTTAGTAGCCTAGGCCACAGTAGGAGGTAGTAGGTTGTGCCCTAGGACTAGGGTTTGTGGTATACGAAGGAGAATTGGAGAAGTGAGAATGGGAATGATGATTTGAACTAGCAAGCAGCAGGATACATATAGGAAACCCTAAGGGGTTGTACTCACTATTGAGCACCCCACTGCAGGCTAGACAAATAACATAATCTGACACACCCCCATAGCCAAAGTGGGGTGTAATCAGCACACGTGAGAAGTCACAGCAATAGTTCACAATTATCAGCAAAGCTAGTGGCAGTCACAGGAGGCCAGTGAGGAGGAGGAGGAACTGTGGAGGGAGAGAAGAGAGGAGGCGACGACTGAAGTTGCAGACACACGGGCACCAGGAGCACCAGGTTGCAACCTCCTCCAACTGTCTCACTCCCCCCTACACTCACCCCCAGTGTCACCACTCGCTTCTCGCCCACATCACCCCCTTAGCGCCACTCCCTCGTCTCCCACACATCCACCCCCCCCGCAGCGGCAGCTGAAGCAGTGGGAGACGGAGGAGAAGGTAGGGGCGACGCACAAGGAGCACCCCCACACCCGCCACCCCCACACCCTCCTGTCCAGGGGACGCAGGGGGGGGGGGGGGGGGGGGGGGAGGGCCGGGGCGGGAGAGCGCACGAGGGCGCAGGCAACCGCGCGTGCAGAGCAACAGCGCGGAGCAGGTAGGGTAGAGCGCACGAGGGCGCGGGCAACCGCGCGTGCAGAGCAACAGCGCGGAGCAGGTAGGGTAGAGCGCACGAGGGCGCGGGCAACCGCGCGTGCAGAGCAACAGCGCGGAGCAGGTAGGGTAGGGCGCACGAGGGCGCGGGCAACCGCGCGTGCAGAGCAACAGCGCGGAGCAGGTAGGGTAGGGCGCACAAGGGCGCGGGCAACCGCGCGTGCAGAGCAACAGCGCGGAGCAGGTAGGGTAGAGCGCACGAGGGCGCGGGCAACCGCGCGTGCAGAGCAACAGCGCGGAGCAGGTAGGGTAGAGCGCACGAGGGCGCGGGCAACCGCGCGTGCAGAGCAACAGCGCGGAGCAGGTAGGGTAGAGCGCACGAGGGCGCGGGCAACCGCGCGTGCAGAGCAACAGCGCGGAGCAGGTAGGGTAGAGCGCACGAGGGCGCGGGCAACCGCGCGTGCAGAGCAACAGCGCGGAGCAGGTAGGGTAGAGCGCACGAGGGCGCGGGCAACCGCGCGTGCAGAGCAACAGCGCGGAGCAGGTAGGGTAGAGCGCACGAGGGCGCGGGTGAGACTGAGCGCGACTGCACAGGGTCCAGGAGCGGCGTCGCGGGCAGCTGCATGGTCGGCTGCTGCTGGTGCGGTTGCTCCAGGGGCGACGACGGAGGTTCTAGGGGCGGCTGCACCAGGGGCGGCTGCTCCACGGGCGGCGTCGCGGGTACAGGGGCGGCTGCACCAGGGGCGGCTGCTCCAGGGGCGGCGGCGCAGGTCCAGGGGCGGCTGCACCAGGGGCGGCTGCTCCACGGGCGGCGTCGCGGGTACAGGGGCGGCTGCACCAGGGGCGGCTGCTCCAGGGGCGGCGGCGCAGGTCCAGGGGCGGCTGCACCAGGGGCGGCTGCTCCCTGGGCGACGGCGCAAGTCCAGGGGCGGCGGCACCAGGGGCGGCTGCTCCAGGGGCGGGGTGGCGAGTCCAGGGGCGGCTGCACCAGGGGTGGCCGCTCCAGGAGCGATGGCGCTGGCGCAGGGGCGGCTCGCGCGCTGTTGCAGGGGCGGCGTCGCGAGCTGCTGCAGGGGCGGTGTCGCGAGCGACGGGCGACGGGGGGAGAGCAGCAGGCGGGCCCCCGGAAGGCGCCGCGACGACCAGTGACGGCGCCCAGGGGGCGTCGCGTCGTGTAGGGGCGACGCCGCGCGGGTCCCGCAGAGGTGTCGCGACGAGCAGGGCGACGCCGCGCGGGTCCCGCAGGGGCGTCGCGACGAGTAGGAGTGGCACCCAGGGGGGGGCGCCGCGACGAGCAGGGGCGGGCCCCCTGAAGGCGCCGCGCCATGCGACGGCAGGGAGCAGCACGCAGGCCCCCCGGAGGGCGCCTCGACGGACGGGATAACCGCCGCGCGCCCCGAGCGCGCGGCGGGAAGCGAGCGCACGAGGGCGCAGGCAACCGCGCGTGCAGAGCAACAGCGCGGAGCAGGTAGGGTAGAGCGCACGAGGGCGCGGGCAACCGCGCGTGCAGAGCAACAGCGCGGAGCAGGTAGGGTAGAGCGCACGAGGGCGCGGGCAACCGCGCGTGCAGAGCAACAGCGCGGAGCAGGTAGGGTAGGGCGCACGAGGGCGCGGGCAACCGCGCGTGCAGAGCAACAGCGCGGAGCAGGTAGGGTAGGGCGCACGAGGGCGCGGGCAACCGCGCGTGCAGAGCAACAGCGCGGAGCAGGTAGGGTAGAGCGCACGAGGGCGCGGGCAACCGCGCGTGCAGAGCAACAGCGCGGAGCAGGTAGGGTAGAGCGCACGAGGGCGCGGGCAACCGCGCGTGCAGAGCAACAGCGCGGAGCAGGTAGGGTAGAGCGCACGAGGGCGCGGGCAACCGCGCGTGCAGAGCAACAGCGCGGAGCAGGTAGGGTAGAGCGCACGAGGGCGCGGGCAACCGCGCGTGCAGAGCAACAGCGCGGAGCAGGTAGGGTAGAGCGCACGAGGGCGCGGGCAACCACGCTTGCAGAGCAACAGCGCGGAGCAGGTAGGGTAGAGCGCACGAGGGCGCGGGCAACCGCGCGTGCAGAGCAACAGCGCGGAGCAGGTAGGGTAGAGCGCACGAGGGCGCGGGTGAGACTGAGCGCGACTGCACAGGGTCCAGGAGCGGCGTCGCGGGCAGCTGCATGGTCGGCTGCTGCTGGTGCGGTTGCTCCAGGGGCGACGACGGAGGTTCTAGGGGCGGCTGCACCAGGGGCGGCTGCTCCACGGGCGGCGTCGCGGGTACAGGGGCGGCTGCACCAGGGGCGGCTGCTCCAGGGGCGGCGGCGCAGGTCCAGGGGCGGCTGCACCAGGGGCGGCTGCTCCACGGGCGGCGTCGCGGGTACAGGGGCGGCTGCACCAGGGGCGGCTGCTCCAGGGGCGGCGGCGCAGGTCCAGGGGCGGCTGCACCAGGGGCGGCTGCTCCCTGGGCGACGGCGCAAGTCCAGGGGCGGCGGCACCAGGGGCGGCTGCTCCAGGGGCGGGGTGGCGAGTCCAGGGGCGGCTGCACCAGGGGTGGCCGCTCCAGGAGCGATGGCGCTGGCGCAGGGGCGGCTCGCGCGCTGTTGCAGGGGCGGCGTCGCGAGCTGCTGCAGGGGCGGTGTCGCGAGCGACGGGCGACGGGGGGAGAGCAGCAGGCGGGCCCCCGGAAGGCGCCGCGACGACCAGTGACGGCGCCCAGGGGGCGTCGCGTCGTGTAGGGGCGACGCCGCGCGGGTCCCGCAGAGGTGTCGCGACGAGCAGGGCGACGCCGCGCGGGTCCCGCAGGGGCGTCGCGACGAGTAGGAGTGGCACCCAGGGGGGGGCGCCGCGACGAGCACGGGCGGGCCCCCTGAAGGCGCCGCGCCATGCGACGGCAGGGAGCAGCACGCAGGCCCCCCGGAGGGCGCCTCGACGGACGGGATAACCGCCGCGCGCCCCGAGCGCGCGGCGGGTAGAATAAGCCGCCACACGCTCGAAGCGCGTGGCGGGAAGAAAAATCCAGTGCCGCGCACCACGGAGCGCGCGGCGAACAGTAGGGCAGCGGAAGCAGTTGGTGGGCCCGTTGAGCTAGGCAGCAGGATCTTGCCCGCTCTAGATACCATGTCAGGAAGAATAGGAGCGTGGCCTAGGCTTAGTAGCCTAGGCCACAGTAGGAGGTAGTAGGTTGTGCCCTAGGACTAGGGTTTGTGGTATACGAAGGAGAATTGGAGAAGTGAGAATGGGAATGATGATTTGAACTAGCAAGCAGCAGGATACATATAGGAAACCCTAAGGGGTTGTACTCACTATTGAGCACCCCACTGCAGGCTAGACAAATAACATAATCTGACACACTTAACAAACAGACCATATAAAATAAATGCCCAACACAACGGATTGACAAATTGCTCGATCAACTCCGCGGTGCTACGGTGTTTTCCATGCTCGACTTCAAATCAGGATACTGGCAAATTCGAATGGCGGACAACTCTATCCACAAAACTGCCTTTCAAACTCGGTACGGGTCATATTAGTATTTTGTGATGAACCACATCGTTCAAACTCACCAACACACTAGCCACGTTTCAGGCGGAAATGAACCACATCCTTCGACCCCTTCTGGACGAGTGCGCGGTGGTATACTGGGATGACATCCTGATCTACTCGAAGCACATGAAGCAGCACGTTGAGCACCTGCGACGCGTCTTCGACATTCTCCGTTGGGAACGCTTCTACGTGAAACTATCCAAGAGCGAGTTTGCACTAACGAAGGTCCAATTCCTTGGACACATGGTGAGCGCTCAAGGAGTTCATGTGGATCCCAAGAATATTGAAGCAGTGCGCACGTGGAATGTCAGAATCCCAGCCACTAACCACTGGGATAAAAGGGCTTGTTTGTGTAGCGGGTGAATGCGCCCATAACCCCCCAGGCCGACGTGCCTGTAACCCTTCCCTAGGATCATCGGGGATCTCCAGTGGACCTCTGACACCCCCCCGCACTGGGATGCCCGAAGTGCATACACCGGGATTCGAACCCGAGACCTTCGCTCTGATACCATGTCAGAATCCCAGCCACTAACCACTGGGATAAAAGGGCTTGTTTGTGTAGCGGGTGAATGCGCCCATAACCCCCCAGGCCGACGTGCCTGTAACCCTTCCCTAGGATCATCGGGGATCTCCAGTGGACCTCTGACATGGAAGACCCCCGAGTACATGAAGGAGTTGCAACAGTCCCTCGGATTCGCTAACTACTACAACCGGTTCGTACCAAACTACGCCAAGATCGCCACACTATTGACGAACCTGTTGAAGAAGAATGCACCATTCCAATGGGAGGTGAAGCACCAAAAAGCCATGGAACAGCTGAAAACCGCACTCACGTCCGCACCTGTACTCATCCTGCCTGACCCCGAACTTGACTACGTCATCAAGGCAGATGCTAGCAATCAAGCAGTGGGTGCAGTACTCATGCAGAACCAAGGGAAGGGACTGCAACCCATTGCATACCTCAGTAAAAAACTTCATGGGGCAGAACTCAATTACCCTATCCATGACAAAGAAGCCCTCGCCATCGTCAACGAGTTTAAGGCATGGACGTGTTATCACTTCCTCGAAACCCACTTCCATTACGACATCGTGTATAAGTCGGAGCACAAAAACAAAGCAGACGCACTCAGTCGCCCTGCACACGTTGCCGCCCTACAAGTCGATGGCATGAACCCACTCTTGAAGGGACTCTTCAGACATGGGTACACTATCAACCCCGAAGTCTTCGTAGCAGAAAAACGCCATCTTCTGCATTGGGATCACGACATCGCATACCGCAAGGGATCCACAAAAATATGGGTACCTGATTTCCCTCCTTTCGTCAATTACTAATCAAAGAATATCATGATATTCTCTACACGGGTCAGTTTGGTAGTAACAAGACACTTGCCGGTATTGCGAAACATTATTATTGGCCCCACATGGCGGATGACGTACAAAAATTCGTCACCTCGTGCGACACATGCCAACGGATGAAGAGCAGCAAGCAGAAGAAAGCAGGATTACTCCAGCCTCTTCCAGTCCCTGAACAGCCTTGGCAAGTGGTTAGCTTGGACTTCATTACCGGGTTACCACCTACCAAGGCTCGGTAGGACGCCATCCTGGTCGTCATCGGCAAATTTTCTAAACTGGGACACTTCATCCCGACACACACGACGGCTCGCACTGAGGAAACAACGCAATTATTTTTCCGCTACGTCATCTCGCAGCATGGCATTCCGACCATGCTAATCCCCGACATAGATCCAAAAATTACAAGTAAATTCTGGAAGGAGCTCATGTCGCTCATGGGGACCAAACTTGCTATGTCATCAGCTTATCATCCCCAAACGGACGGTCAGACGGGGCGACTCAACCAGATTGTTGAACAGCTTCTGCGAGCAATGAGTAAGGAAGATGTCTCTAAATGGGATGCGCATTTGCCGGTTCTCGAGTTTGCGTACAACAACGTCACACATGCCGCAAGAGGACAAACTCCTTTCTTCCTATGTTGCGGTCGCAACCCATTCAAGCCTAAAAAACTGACAGTACCCGCCATGGTGCAACCCGCACATGGCTTCATTACCACCATGCACCAGTTGTGGGAGTGCCCTCATAAACGCCTTTTGACTATCCAGCAGCGACAAAAGAAGCTCGCTGGTCGAAGTCGTAATTGCCACTCTATCAATATTGGCGATCAAGTGCTTCTGGATACACGCAATCTCGACATCAGCCATCTTCCAACCAAGCTCCGACCTCGCTTCTGCGGACCTTTTCTCGTTGAGGCACAGGTCACTCCAATAACCTTCCGCTTGCGTTTACCAGCTACTTGGAAGATTCACAATGCCTTCCATGTTCAACTTCTCAAGCCATATCGGGACCCAAACACGGTCTTCAAAGGTCGCCAACCGCCGCCGCCACCGCCAGTGATCGTTAATGGGGAACCTGAGTACGAAGTCGAAGCTGTTCTGGCGCATCGACGACGACGCACGCTCTTGCTTCGTTGGAAAGGCTATGATCCTTCCGAGGATAGCTGGGTACCCAATATGACATGGATAATGTCCGTCGCCGATGCTGAGGAAGATCGTCAGCGTGACGTAGCTGCTCACCGGCGCGTACGTCTTGTCGTAGTCGGCGCCATACACCTGTGTGAAGCCCTTCACGACCAGCCTAGCCTTCTCCCGGGCGACCGTGTCGTCGACGTGGTACTTGGTCATCAAGAAGCACCGGTTTTTCATGATGTTCACCCCGAATGGGCGTTCGACCAGCTCCCAGGTGCCCATGCCAATAAGGCTGCGTATCTCCTCGACCATAGCGGCCTTCCAGCTCGCCAACGCCTCCTTCACTGTCATCGTCGCGATGTCCCAGCGATGCTCTGGGTCGGCGCGCATGTCGGGGTCGAAATCCGGCAGGTCGTGGTCATCCTCGGCGTCGTCATACAGCACGTTATCATCGGTGTCGTTGTACACCGTGGTGAAGGCGGCCGCCGCCAGGCAGACGTGGTAGGTCAGCCGCTCAGGCAACCCCCGAATTTGGCCGGAACACCGTGGTCCAGGCGGGACCTCCACCACGTCGCTGTCAGTGGACTTCCCGGCGTTCGACGGCTCCCCTTCATCGTCGTCAGCTTCGCTGCTCTCGACGTCCTGCTGCACCAAAGTCGGCACCAAAATCAGCGTCCCAGCCAACCTCTCCCCTGTCGTCAGCTCCCCTCCAGACTGTTTGGTCGCTGATGACTCCTTGGTCAGCTTTACTGCGGACTCCTCCCCTGTCGGCAGCTTCCGTGCCGACGCCTCCTTCGCCGGCTCCACCAAAGTCAGTTGTACCTCCTCTCTCTGCTGCTCCCCTATCGGCATCGAGTTCTTTCCCACTCCGACTTGCTTGACGTCACGTCAGCCACCAGCGATGCCCTTGGCCGGCGCCACAAGCGACACCCCACTGCTCCCCTCATCGATGTCAGCACAAGCAGGCCGGCTACAAGGGGTGGGGCAGGAGGGATAGGGTAAGGGGATGGAGGGCGGACGTCCTCGGCGTAATCATCAGCAAGCTCACCGACCTCGGCGAGCAACGGGAGTCGGCAAACAATATCGCCACACTTCATGCCATTTTGTTTTGTCTTCACATGATCCTCGGACCAAGTGTAAACGTATGGGCCTGGTCCTAGGACCAAGTGCAAACGTATGGGCCTGATACTCGGACCAAGTGCAAACGTATGGGTATGGTCCTAGGACCAAGTGCAAACATAGGGGCCTGGTCCTAGGACCAACAGCAAACGTATTGGCCTGGTCCTAGGACCAACTGCAAACGTATGAGCCTGGTCCTAGGACCAAGTGCAAACATATGGGCCTAATCCTCGGACCAAGTGCAAACATTTGGGCCTGGTCCTAGGACCAAGTGCAAACGTACGGGCCAAGTTCTAGGACCAAATGCAAACGTATGGGCCTGGTCCTAGGACCAAGTGCAAACGTATGGGCCTGGTCCTCGGACCAAGTGCAAACGTATGGGCCTGGTCCTAGGTACAAGCGCAAACATAGGGGCCTGGTCCTAGGACCAAGTGCAAACGTACGTGCCTGGTCCTCGGACCAAGTGCAAACGTATGGGCCTGGTCCTAGGACCAAGTGCAAACGTATGGGCCTGGTCCTAGGACCAAGTGCAAACATAGGGGCCTGATCTTCGGACCAAGTGCAAACATATGGGCCTGGTCCTAGGACCAAATGCAAACATAGGGGCCTGGTCCTCGAACCAAGTGCAAACATATGGGCTTGGTCCTAGGACCAAGTTCAAACGTATGGGCCTGGTCCTCGGACCAAGTGCAAACGTATGGGCCTGGTCCAAGGGCCAAGTGCAAATGTATGGGCCTGGTCCTCGGACCAAGTGCAAACGTATGGGCCTGGTCCTAGGTACAAGTGCAAACATAGGGGCCTGGTCTTCGGACCAAGTGCAAACGGATGGGCCTGTTCCTAGGACCAAGTGTAAACGTATGGGCCAGGACCAAGTGCAAACAAATGGGCCTGGTCCTCGGACCAAGTGCAAACGTATGGGCCTGGTCCTAGGACCAAGTGCAAACGTATGGGCCTGGTCCTCGGACCAAGTGCAAACGTATGGGCCTGGTCCTCGGACCAAGTGCAAACATATGGGCCTGGTCCTAGGACCAAGTGCAAACGTATGGGCCTGGTCCTCGGACCAAGTGCAAACGTATGGGCCTGGTCCTAGGTACAAGCGCAAACATAGGGGCCTGGTCTTCGGACCAAGTGCAAACGTATGGGCCTGGTCCTAGGACCAAGTGCAAACGTATGGGCCTGGTCCTAGGACCAAGTGCAAACGTATGGGCCTGGTCCTAGGACCAAGTGCAAACGTATGGGCCTGGTCCTAGGACCAAAACGTATGGGCCTGGTCCTAGGACCAAGTGCAAACGTATGGGCCTGGTCCTAGGACCAAGTGCAAACGTATGGGCCTGGTCCTCGGACCAAGTGCAAACGTATGGGCCTGGTCCTAGGACCAAGTGCAAACGTATGGGCCTGGTCCTAAGACCAATTGCAAACAAATGGGCCTGGTCCTCGGACCAAGTGCAAACGTATGGGCCTTGTTCTGAGGGTGGACAACAAGTCGGCCATCACGGTCGCCGAGGGCATGGGGTTGATGGGCAACCTCAAGCACATGGAGCGGCGACAAGCCTGGCTGCAGCACATGG